CCCTGTACCCCCGAAGATTAGGGCTTTTTGTTGGGAGGTTCCAGAAAATTAACACTTTGGATAAACTACAAAAAAGAAGACCAAATTACTGCCTTTTCCCTCATGTTTGTTGTCTTTGTTTGGATTGCGGTGAGTCAATTACACATTTTTTATTGTCTTGTCCTTTTGCTTCTTTTGTTTGGAATTGGTTTTCCTCTTTGTTTGGCTATAGGTGGACCATTCCTTCTGATGTGGCAAGCCTCTTTGAACCAAGCTTCTTTAGACTACCTAAGAAAAGAGTTAGGGTGATGTGGAGAGCTACGAGAGCTGCTATCCTTTGGTCATTATGGGAGGAGAAAAATAACATAATTTTCCAAGGGAAAGAAAGGTCCAAGGAACAAGTCATTGATAACATACTGAGTACAGTCATACATTGGCTGAAATCAACTGAATTATTCAAAGATTATTCAATGGAGGATAGTTTTAGAGGCTGGTTGATAGTGGCAAACCTTTCTACTACCAAGGATGTAGTTCAGCCCCAATGGTTACCAGCAGCACACCAAAGGGTAAAGTTGAACTTTGATGGAAGTTCTTTGGGCAATCTGGGACCCTTGGGTGTTGGGGGAGTATTTAGAGACTGAGGGGGGGGGGGAGCTAATAGCATTGTACTCTGGCCCAATAGGTATTGACAATTCATTAAGAGCTGGAATTATGGCCTTACTCCAAGGTCCGAGGCTGGCCAAGCAATGAGGTTGAAGGGATGAGAGATCCATCGTATGGACGCCCAAATCTTGCAGAATGAAGGGGGCGAATTTCAAAATTGTTTCTCTCTCTTCAACTGGGAATTGCATTCCCTATTTAGAAAATCATATTTTCAAGGACCAATCTTGAACCATGAATTGAACCAGATCTGAACCAAAAGAAGTAGGAGAGAGGTATACCTGATACAGAGAAGTATTATCTCTCAATGGAGGTGTTCACGCCCAAGGAATTGTCAGTAGCGTTCTCCAAGAACCTGATCCTTCGTAAGAATAGCTGGATGGCACGTGAGCACTGCTTCCAATCAGTCCTTTCACAAAGGGTTGATATCAAGATCGAATCTTGATATCTCCTACAAAGTTGGAGATCGAGCTGGAGGTCTGGCGGCGGTAGGGAGGAGGCGGCAAGAAAGAGTTTTGCAGAGATTGCAGAAATCTTTCTTCTGTGATTTCAACTTTGAAGACTAGAGACCTTTTGTGTTGTCTGTTGTGTCTAAAGGCTGCCGCCCCCTCCTCCTTTTATAGGCTTAAAGGGATCAGATCCTAATCCCATTAGGAGTTGCTGATTCAAATCATATTTGGATTAGAAGTCCCTTTAAGTGATAAGGAAGAACCCTTATCTTATCTGTAGATTAGATCAGCCCTCTCCTAGATTTAGATCTTGGACTCTCTGAGTGGATAGGGTCAAGGCCCAATCTTATCAACTGATTTAATCCCAGATCCGCCCCTCGTTTAAACTGATCAAATCAGCCCAGTTCGAAATGGGCTTTAGGCCCATTAAGGTTGTGTGCTC